CCCCCCCTTCCACACATAACGCTTGGGTAGGCATTCTTCCCCCCTCCCTCCCGACTCCGGCTTTTCCATTTTACGGTGCACCAGATGCTTGTGCATCTTCTACTTGATTCTCGTAGATATCTGAGCCGCATTTTCCCAACCTGTTCGATACATGCATACGCCCGGAAATGTCGAACGAAAAATAAAGGTATAAAATCCACTATCCCGGTTGGGACAGCAACTGGGACGAATGGGTCGTTCGAGACCGGCTGAGGTGGCCGGTGGACCCGTCGTACCTTTCCACCGCATTCAGGGTCCGAGAAGTGGTCGAGGTCTGGTGTACGGGCACGCATGTCAAGGGCGCTTGGCTCCAGGCGNTATGGCGGGTTGTCGGAGGAACGGCTGGAAAGGGGGGGGTGGGAAGGAAGGCGGGGGTGGGGGAGTGCTCTTAGCCGTGCATACCGTAACGTTAAATGGCCCTCGCATCCCTGCAAAGTCGGGACGCGCGGGGGACGTTGTGGGGCAATGGTGTAGTGTTCGTTCGCACGTGAAAGCAATAGAGTAGGCATGCTGTCTGGTGTTGTAAAGCAGTCATGGATGTCATGTGGTGGAGCACGGCCATCGCTGGAGTACCCCATGCTATATGTACACGCTTTGTCAGATCAGCCCATGGTCTTTCCGTCGCACATCATTCCACCGTCGCCCAAGACTTGGAAATAGTGTGTGTTTGCACTTGAGATCAGGCGGTACCTCGGCGCACGTCGCCATGCGGTGGACGCCGAAGCGACTGGAAAGGACTGGTTGTTTTTCATTAAGTCATGCTCTCTTTTACCTCCAGTACCGGTTGGCCATGCTCAGTGGTGCTCTTCTTCTTCCCCCGCTTCCTCCGTTCCCTCCGACGAGCAGATCAAGCAAGACCAAGTCAGCCTCAAGAACGTGCTCGCGTCGTCCCCGCGCACCGTCTGGGTGCCTCGGTCGAAGGTGCGCCGGGTGTGCGCGGGGGGCTCGTGCCTCAACTCCTCATCCAGGAACGGCAGCCGGCGCCGCGGCGGCGGCGGCTCCTCGAAGCTGGACGCCTCTCGGCAAGAAGCGCTCGCGAGGGCGCTGAGGGGGCTCTCGGCCGGCGCTCGCAGGCTGCCCCGTGCTGGCCTCGCGGGCCTGCGCGGGGCGGTGCGCCGAAGGGCTAGCCTTAGCAGGGTGAGGCGTGGCGGTGGCGGCGGCGGCGTTGATATTGTTTAATGCCAGCGTTTCCGGTTCCACTGCGTGCGCCACGAGGGGAGGTTTGAATGGCGCGGCCAGAGCGAAGCAGGGCGTGCAGTGAAGAGGGAGAGAAGCCAGGGTAAGCTCGGGCGAGGATGCGGTGTAAATCGCCACGGTGAGAGGTTTGAATGGCGCGGCCAGAGTGAAGCAGGGGGTGCAGCGGAGAGAGAGAGGCCAGGCTAAGCTTGGGCGAGGGATGCGGTGTAGTGAATTGATGGAAACGACCCGCCTATTTCTGTTTTGTGAATTTTATCGTCGAACTCGTGCCTGGCGCGTCGTCAGAGATGAAGAATGAGTCTGACGGGTTGCGGGTGTACAGTAGACGAGGGAAGGGGGCTCATGAGGTCTGTACAAGAGGATGTTCATCTAACCGGCAGAGGGACTCTGTTTTTGTCGGACAAGTTAAACGAGCGCGCGATTTTGAAGAGTTGGGTTCATAGTCGGTCAGTGACTCTGAGCGCGTGCTTGTTCATTTATTTAGCTGCTAAAGAGGTGGCCTTGCAAGGGAAGGGGTGGTTTGTTGGAAAGGATACGGGGGGTTGGATTTTGGTAGCGAAAGTAATTTGCAACGAGGCTGGACATGATAAAGCTTGATGTTCTCTAGATACGCACGAAGACATTGTCAATTGTGGTGCTGGCTGCGGGATGGATAGATTCATGGTTTTCTGTTTTTTTCAACGAAGTTTTCGGCAACGGGGGTCTTAGTCCCCCGTTTTGTTTCTTTGTCTTGAGGCCGTGTATGTGCTTGGAATCTCCGTCGCTCCGACGGCAGGCCAGCACTACAAGGCGTTCAAGTCTGGAGACAAGGAAACAAAACGCCCGCATCGCTGGCAAGTACCATTTGTATATCCATCTATGTCCACCCGATACCGGTTCCGTTGGACTAGAGGGACTGACGCGCCTTGTATAATTTGTAGAGGGCGGGAGGGCGTTCCGAAGATCGATATCGATCATTTCCTCGATGTTGGCGTCAGACGGAGGAGCAATTTGGTTCCCGACGCGTCCGTCCATGCATGACGCGCAACGACGAGGGAACATCGGTTGACTGCCGCCCGGGGGCAAAGTAGCGCCGGCGCCCCTATTATATAAAAGCATTGCCGTTTCTTTTGAATTTTTCCGTGCACATAAATGTAATGTGTTTTGGTTGTTCCGCTCCACGAGGTTCATTCAGTTCAGGTCATCGTGGAAGTGTCTAGTTGTTGTTGTTGCTGTTGTCTTCACATTAAACCGTATATCAGTTGCTAAATGCCAAAATCTAGCAAAGACTCTCAGCCCGTGGCCACGAAAGTGCTAGAGCCATCTGAGGATCTAAAGAACACGCACACATATAACGAGAAAAAGGTATCCAAGAGCCCGAAGCGGTACACCTAAAAATCCCTGCAGCACCGTATGCGTGCCCAAAAACTGAACTGCACGTCCGTCCCACCGTTCGACTACAGTAGCATCACCCCTCCCTGTCCCACTCTACATGACTTTCAAGTAGCATCAATGAGAAACCACCTCATCATGGGGGGGAGCGTGTCCGTCTTCGCCGGGCCGGTGGGTGGTTGTGCTTGCAGGTGTTCTTTTTTCTTCGGGACGCCTTTTGGTTGAGCAGTTTTTCCTGGTTTGCTTTAGAAAAGGAAACCGTATTTGTTGTGTAGGTGAGTGTTGAGCCCCAAAAGGTGGTGCGGTCGGCGCCTTCGATTGAGGAGGTCGCTTTTATTCCTTGTCCCTGGCCATCCGTATGAGTTGGTCCTCGGCACAAGCAAACGATGGATCCTTGAAAATTTCGAGGTTTTTGGTCTTCTTGTCGCAAGAGCGAAAGGAAGACAAGGTTACTGTGTGACCCTTCGAAAAGCGCGATGTTTTTTTGTCTTGCACGCAGTTCAACAAGACCGTGGCCCACCTGGTGCAGAATTGGAAAAACGTTTTCACGTGTCTCTTGTTTGTATCGTAGGTCCAACGATGGCCGAGCGAGTCGTAATGGCGACATCTGCATCCGTGCATCACGATTGTTGTATCGTATGGGATAAGGCCTATGTCCGGCAAGGCAGGACGAACATATGTTCATGTAGTCAGAGTAGTACGATCCAGATACGGACCTGCTTAGTGCCACTTCTGCTGTCTGGCATACGATCGCCAAGAAGGGTACACCAAAATCCGTCTTGCTCACAACCTTCATGTCTTGGGCAAAATACAATAGACCCGAGAACCCGGCAACCACAACGTTAAACATTCTTTTTTTTGACTGGCCCGCGTGCGAGAGTCATCCCAGAAACTCACAAGACTTTCTTACAGAAAAACGTAAAAAAAAAGCCGCCGTCATCGCTAAAATGGCCAGGGGCGCGCGGCCGTCACAACCGGAACGTGTGCACCGCATCCAGGCTGCTGAAGGCCGTCGAGTAGGTGGCGCCCTCGAGACCGCAGGCTCGCAGGTACGCCGAGATGACCTTGGCCTCGAAGTCGTTCGCGGGACGATCTCGCCGCTGCGCCAGCACCTGCTGCCCCCAGATGGTGGCGGGTGCCGTAGCCCTAACCGTAAGGACCTTGCGATCCAAGTCTGCCGTCACGGCGTAGTCGAGCGTATAAAAGTTGAGCCGCAGCAGGTTCATGATTCGGTCGCACCCCTCCCGGAGCTCGGCGACCGTCTGCCCTTGCGTCACCACCGGCGCTAGCTTGGTAGAGCCGAACGCCTCTGTACAATAAGCCTTTGCTCCGGGTCGCACGGGCATAGTGGGCACGGGGTGGAGGTGGATTGGGAACAATAATGTTTGTTTTGAAGGCGTGGTAAAAAAATGGGGGGTGTAGATGGCGGGGAGGCTTCCGGTACGCGAGCGTGGCCCCGTTTTGCACACTCCTTTTGGAAAGGTGCATCCACTTCGGAGACCGTGACGAATCACATCAATCGCCACGATTTCACCAACCCGGTCAAAAACTACACTGAAAAACTGATCGGGAGTGGGGAAGCACCCACCTCAAACCATACGTGCCTAACGTAGGGCACGTAAGATACCATACCCCTGGACCGACTTAAAACGCTCGATTACTCCGCCACGAACGGCATGCCGAGTTCAAATGATGCGTTTTCGGAGAGCTCTCCACGAGACGGTTCAAACGCCTCCCGCCATTCTTGGTGCCTTCACTGTTTTTCCTGCCCAGAAATCGAGCTTTGAAAATCGGCACAGGGGGTGTGATATCTTCTGCAACCTAAGGTATTCCACGTACAGCGGGTACCTACGCGATTACAGTTCTACGAATCGACCAGGCGAGTCCGCCTCTCTCCCCCCTCCCCCCGCCCCGCCCCGCCCCGCCCAGAATTGTCCCGACACCGCCTCCCTAGTCCGGCTCGAAACTCAGACGCGCTTACCAATATCCTATCTCCGACTCTCCTCGCGTGCTCCTCCGGTAGTCGGGCGTTGTCCTTGAAGTCGGCACTCCGCTGTACGGTCCTCTTCTCGCCCTCGGCCCCCACCTTCTCCTCGAAGAAGTCCCGGCCGTTCCTCATCGCCTCCGCGACGGAAGCGTACTGCGCGAAGCTGATAAAGTCGAAGTAATCCGGGTCTGCCAAATCGCCCTGCTTTATTCTGGTTGTGTACGCGATCACCGCGTTGTAGTGCGTGTGTTGTGGCATCGCATGCGTAGGAAATGTGTCGTTCAAGGGGCGCAAAACAGATGATGCCATGTCGACCTTTGTGAATGGACGAGCAGGGGAGGTTGGAGAGGAACAAGGTACACTCGCTTGGTTTACTTGCCCTGAAACATGTTGTGACCATTGAGCGCGCATCGTTTTAGGGGTCGGAGCACAGCAGCAGTACCTGGTCCCATCGCGAGCACACCCAACACTCGAGCACCAAAAAGCCTGTTGTTCTTCGTTCATTTTCCCGTTTCCTTTCTCTGTCAACCGCTGTTTGTGGCCGTCACCCTTCTCCAAGAATAGCGATGGTTGTCTTTGTGTGTATTGTCCGTTGCACAAGTCCCTGTCCACATGCATCCATTTGTCTTTTCTCATCTCTCCCTAGAGGATGACGGTATAAGGGACACCATTGGAGCTTCAAACGGGGCGTTTGTCTGTGAAGGGATGTCCGTCCTCGTGTTGCACAGCGTCGGGGACGTGGAACCAAGCCCGCGCTTCGCATGCTGGTGTGTCAGCCAGTCCAAACGTCCCCCAGTTGCAATGGTTGTCTTCGTGAGCAGCACGTACCACCACCAATCAGAGGGCGAGAGGGAACAGTATCGGGCGGGGGCCAGGTGGTGAGAGAGAGAACAAACACCCACAAAGTGTCTCACCGCGGGAAATTCTCCTTGTAGCCGAGCCACTCCCGCTGTCGGAACAGGAAAAATTGCTTCTGAAAATCGTCCATCGGAACGAAGTCGAGCTCATCAACAACCTGCTCGCGGCAACAGCGCGCATGCACGGGCGGCGGAGGGGGGGGGCGGAACGCGCTCGGCAAACGTCCGTCGGCAAACGTCCGTCGGCAGCGTGCAGGGTGATGCTTACACCATGTTTTCAACGCTCCAACCAAAACAATTATTTTCCTTCTTGCTCTCATTTGTTTCATTACATGAGACAGACGGCATCGCGCACCTGGTAGCTCGCCCGCATGAGCAGCACGGCGAAGTCTCTCTGCAGCCGGGCCCTTGCAATCTTGACAAAGGGGGGTCTCCTCGCCCGCTCTATCTTTTGCGTCAACCAAGACACGTACCTGTTGTTCAAGACCATGCCACATGACAAAACCCGAATGATGCTGTGGAACAAGGCACCAAGTGTGGTGGGTTCAATGGGACCGCGGGCGAGAGTCCTCTTGCCACGTCGTAAGAAATACGGCAGCGGTAATGCGCAACGGGTAGCCGTCCGTGTGCCGTGCGACGGGGTTTAATGAAGGCGTTGATTGTTCCATCAAATCGCGCAAACCGGCGAAACACCATCACCGGGTTCGGCATTAGATAAGTAAGCCCTTTGGTCGTCCCTGCCAAGCACGAAAAGACAATCGGAGGGAAGAAACGAGAGCAACAAACACCATGCACCAAAACCACCCCGCCGAAGGAGGTGTGTTCGTTAAAAGGTCCGCAGTAATCAATCCCGCAGACATGAGGAGGCACCGGGTGCCGAACGTGTCCCGAAAAAAGATTGGTATTGAATCGCGAAGAGTCAAAACGTCAGAGAGCGGTGGGCTGAATGCTGATACGTTTTCGACTACTACCCACGGATAAAACTTCCGGTCTGCAGAGCTATTCGAAGTAGAAAGCAAGTGGTTGTAAGGATTTTCTCAAACTCCAAAGAGGCGTCGTGTTTCAATAGGATTTAGATGTGTACCTGAAGGAGGTGCGGGGAGATGTAACTCCCCCGATGGAATGATAAAACAGGGGCCAGGATCAAGTAGCCCCCGTTCTAGGGAGCTGATCTCTCCCTCAGGCTGCCACTCCTATTAGCTGTAGCCAAGGAAACAGCAACAGCTGCTGTTCCGCACGAGTTAGTAACAACGTGAGGTCTTCTTCGCGGGTCTTCCAGGTTGTACCGCGCGTGCATATCCTCACGGTCGCCGTGAGTTACTCGTTCTCTAGCCAAGCAGCGCTCGACTTATGTTTCGATTTTCAGGGGTCATACGTCGCACACTTCCCTCTCATCTCAGTCCTACAGCTGTATGTCAGGTATAGTATACACAACATGGTCGTGTGATACCGGTTTGTTGTCATTTTCAGTGTGCCCGAGCATGGGATGAGCCATCATCATGTTTGTATTCTAGTTTTGGGGCCAGGGGGCGACTCTCATGAAGAATCCGAAACTCACGAGCTTTGTGGCTACATCTCGCCTCTACTTTTCTGACACTGCTCTGTCACTGACGTCCAGAGTACTATTATATATAATAGTCTATATCATTCATGGCTTCACGTGAAGCAGCGAAGTCTAGCCTACAGCAGTCCACGTTCACCAATAGCACAGGAAAAGCGTGCTACTACAGCAGTAATCGTCAAACACGTCTTCATCCACAAACCCAAACGCCAACGAACGAACTGTGACACTGGACACTCCCATGTGTCATCATCCATTGGATCCTTACGCGCACCCTCTCGGTCAACGGGTCCTAAAAACTACATGCAAAATCCTGCCGCACTTTCCGGGTGGATCGCAACTTCGACGGAGAGCCACAATACCACAATAGCGCGAGTCACCTCCGAGAAGCCGACAAACAAAGCGAGCATACTGCGCGCAGCAGATGAGGGGCGGGGGGTGATCTGTACTACAGTGAAGCTATCCTCATGAGGCGTCAAAAACCAACATGGAGCAGACTGTGCGCCACGTACCCTTCTTGTTGGTCGGAAGCCATCATCACGTGTCCGCGGCCTCTCTTGCTGTGGCATGTTGGCGGCACCATGAACCCAGCCGAAGAGGCGAAAGCGAGTGCAAACAGCGCAAGCAACCTACAACGAAGTGATTCCATCACGACTTCACCCCCCGTCCCGTGCGGCTCCTGCCTCTGCTGCTGCAGTACGCTCGGGCTGCAACAGCAGTCCCTACAGTGAGTCGGAGGGGGATCGACGATTGGTATTGACTAAAAACTGATGAGTAACCAGAAACAGGTATACCCAGGTGGATTATCACCATATCAGGGTACACCAATCTCCGACAGCATCCGCCGTAATCGCGGCGGAACAAATAAACCGCTGTCTGTGTCCTGTGTCCTGTGCCTCGGAAGCATGATGCACGAGGCAGGTCGTGCCCGTTTTTCTCTCTCTCTGTGCCTCTCTCTCTGTGCCTCTCTCTCTGTGCTTTTACTGATTAGTACCACACCGAAGTACTCGCGCGCCATCGTGTCCGACCCTCTGTTGAGAAGGGCCGGTATCCTATGGAGGCGGTGCCCATGAAGCGAGCTTCGTTGGTGGTTTGGTTGTGGTTATGTATGTGCGGTACACGGTATGTGCGGTAGACGGTTTTTTCTGCGGATTTTATGATAGAGCGTCGGGCGCCGAGATTTTATGACTATTTCTGTGCGCAAAATCGACCTCTTCCGGGTACACGAGAAACCAATATCGGTCACACCAGAGTGTCCTAATTCCAGCGGAAGTTGTACCCGATGGAAGTTTCGTCTGACATGGGGACAATGGTTTTTCAGCCAATCAGCTGACAGCCTGGGGGTGCAAGCGGGTTGATTTCTAACTGTACCCTAAAGTGGTGATAAAGTACCCGGTTATACCCGTTTCTCGTCATTGGTCCCCAAACTCTCAAGTCGCGTGCCCCCTTTTGATTTGATAAGCAGCGTGTGCTGCGCAGCGTGGGTGGTGGGTGGTGCGGCTGGCGGTGCTTGTTGTCTGCTCTGCTGCGTGTGTGAGACGTGGGGCAGATGGCTACCGTAGAGGAGAAGGTAAATCAGGCCATCGCCAAGGGCTTGGGGGAAGAGGCCCTTGCCGAAAAATTCGAGCAGCATGGAGAGGCTTTCACCGGCTTCCTGGGTGACGTTCAGGCGAACTTGCTCAGTCAACTCAACGCGCATAGCGTTGGTCCCGAGGGCTTCGTCGAGAACTTTCAAGGTGTGAATGACACGCCAGGAATTGATCAGTCGCCCCACGTGTGCTTGCCTGGAGTGAGGCCTTACTCTGGGCAAGGGATTCGGTCTGTGCAATGTGCGATCCTTGTATTTGGATTCCTCCGCGCATCGCGAAAAGTTTGGCTATCGCGCTGTGTGTAGATTTGAATGTTTCAAGACTCAAGAGCCGCAGCAATTGTCGCTGCTGCGTGTAAGCGAAGGCCTGCTTGCATCTTGGACAGCTCAAGGAGTGGTGACGCCCTTATCCACGTGCTTGGTGGTAGCAACGATTGAAATTGAAATCAGCATATTTTCTCCTCTGCTCCTCCTGCCTGGTTCCGTCGCACGTACCAGCCTTCCGCTCTGCCGTGGACTGGAGCGAGCCATGGATTCAGGGCATCCTGGTGTTCCACCTGTTGTTATGGATATTTTTTATTGTTACGCGGAGGAGCTTTGGCGCCCAGGTGCGTTGGTGTACTCCCGTAGTGTAGGAACGTCAAACAAACGTGAAATGTGTGGGGACACACAACACTTGCTTGTTTTCCGAATGGGTGCCAACACCAGCTGTATCACAGGGACAATACCATTGTAGCATCCCAGCCAACACCATGCAGTGGTCCTCTTGTCTACACTGCCGTTGCCGAAGTATGGTTTCCTCCCCACAGTTCCCCAATGAAATCGAACAGATTTCGGAGCATGCATGCATACCATACAGTAGATTGCATGAGATACCACACCCCCTTAGATATTCGAAGCTCGATTGACTCCACGACGGAGAGCACGCACAAACCAAAAGGTACTTTTTCGGAAAGCTCTGGAACGATACGGTTCCAACGCTGCCATTTTCGGCTCCGCTACTGCTGGTTGTGCTGCAGAGTAGTCGGACTGTGAAAAAAGGCAGAAGCTAAGAACTTGAGGACCATTTGTGAGCCCGGTTAAGAACCCCTACACTAAAACCTATAAAGTGGCGATTTGTAGCCCGCAAGAGGGTGATCAGCAAAATATGAAACCCAGCCTCGGCCGAAACTAGAGGTTCTTAAGTGCGGGCGCCATCTATACCCTTCTTCGGGAAATTCGATGCTGTTGGCAGATATATATATATATGCCACGGCCACCAAAAACTCCGCAATAAATATCATAAGCACCCCGCGGAGTATACCTTACGCCGGTCACCATACGCGGAGAAGGACAGGGAGGCCAGAACCACGAAGAACGTCCGCCCCAAGTGTGTTGATCTTTTCGTGCACAACGAGTTGGCTCGATTTGTGCGACCGTTGCAAGCGAAGTAGCAGAGTACGCCCCCCCTCTATATTCTGTCAACAAAGTTCTGCCTTCTGTGTGATTCTTGTCGCAACCGATATGTGGCGGTTCTGCGTCCAGCTCCTAGTGACTGCTGCTGTTGTTAGATTCTTGCAGAATGTGTTCATCTTTATCGTTGTTCGGTGTGTGGCGAAGGTCGGGCTGTTCGCGGTAATACTCACGGGGACAAGGTTAAGCGAGTTCATCAACACGTGCCTCCGGGATCGCTGGCAAGACTTTTCGAGGCAGAACTACTTCGACGAGCACGGCATCTTCATGGGGGTAATGTGGGCCGGGCCGCTACTGATACTGGGCTTCACGATGCTGGTGAGTTTTGAGGCGAGGACAAGGCAGGACCAAGACAAAGAAAAGCAGATGAACCTTACGCCTGACGTTTGGCAGAACTTCCACGTCCGACCACATGTTTTGACCACGCTTGGGCGAATGTCTGCCCCGGAGCACATCCAGCAATGGTCGGACCTGCCGTTTCGGGTCCGTCATGACACATTAGGTTCAGAACGCACTCTCCTCGCGGTAAACCGGCGGTAAGGCTTCCACAGCTGGCGAAGCGTAATCCAAGTCCTGCGGTTCTATCCCTCCAGCCGTGGCAGGCACGGTGTTTTCTCATGTACGCTTTGTCAAGCGCACTCACTTTGCATTTTTCCGAGGCCAAACATGATGTATCCCACACTAGCCTGCACGAGCGGTGGTTGCCAAGCGGCAGGCAGCGCTTGAAAAAGCAAAATCATGCACGCGAATCTAGCCAGCAATGCCGTTATTGATCAGTCGCGGCTTTTGCTTCCGATGCACTACAGCTTGCTGTACATCTCTCTCTTTCTCTCATTTGTGTACCTTTCAGGTGAGCTTGCTTTGCCAAACGGCATCGCTCTTGGTGACGGTGAAAACCAAGCAGTTCAAGAGAGAACTCGCCGCAAAGAAGGACGGCGGGAAGTCCAAGACCAAACGCGGCGCGAAAGACAAAAAAGCGTAAAAACAAGCATGACTGCACCGACGCAATGCCGTTCCGGAAGACGGGACTATGCGCTGCTGTTGGCTGTTGGCTGTTTAGATCCTGCCATTTGCCGCTGTGTTTCTGTATGTCATGTCAATAACAATTGCGTCATGGGCCCTTGTGAAATTGTATCTTTAGAGGAAGCAGAGGCATTTCTGTTATTGGCTGCCACATGGAGGTTGCGTTAAGCGCTAAAAGCAGGCCGCACGATGCCCTCACTCGGGCTCACGGATAGGTCTCTATTGGATTCTTCAAGACCCGTTGCCTTGCCACCTCGCTCGTTGTTGGCAACAGGAAATCCACCAGTCAAGGGTCGAATCCGCGCGTTCAACATGGTGCTGCGCCGGGTTTTATGTCTCGAGAACGAAGCAACATTTCCACGTGTTGTCATCAATGATCATTTTGTTGTCATCAATGATTAAAGGACCCATCCCCATATTCTGGGGCGTCCCTTCATGCGCAACACGGAACCCCATACGCCGATAAAAGCGCTCTACATTTCGATCGTGCTGCTCCGACCGGCGCCGCCAGGTATGGGTCGTGTCGACTCCCGATGACAAGAATCTCCCTGACCTCGCCGATAGTCCTCATCCCTCACCCTTGTTTACCGGCCTCGCACATCCGGCCTCGCACAAATTATGTCTCTCCTCTCCCGCCGCTTGCATTCCCTCCTGCTCTCCCCCGGATTGCTGGGCCCGAGCTGGCTCGTCCTCGCCAGGTCCTTCCTCTTCCCGGCCCCCGCCCCCCCCGCTTCCCGGCGCCTACCAAGGGTTTTAAGCCGGTCACCTTTTCCGCCTCCCGGGCGCACTCCGCGCTGGCAGCTGTGAAGAGCAAGCGGGTAAGACGGTGTTGGATACATGATTGTTTCATCGAAGGAAGGGGAAGGTTTTGTCAGCGCGTGGGCATAACAGGGCCCGCGACCCGTCAAACGCTGTGGTTGTCATCAACAGTGCCCGACTACTCCAAAACCGCTGGGAGAAGACGGGTGGCTTCTTCCAATTTTTCGATGTAACGCCTACCGTGGCCGCCATTACCACCACAAACCTCACATCCCTCGCAGTGTGGAATTTGCACCAGGCCAACCCCACACCGGCTTTTGTCGCGGCCAGGTGCTACAGCACAGCAGGAGGGGGAACTGATCTTGGCGTGTTTCAAAGGCATACCATACATACCACCAATGCCACCACGAAAAACGTCAAACCTTTGAGGCGGGCTGCCACCCCGGCGGCACCCTTGGGAAGCGCGGCCGCGGCCGCGGACGCCGCCTGCGCTTCGGTCATCTTGGCCTCTCGCGCTGCCCTCAGGGCCTCCGCCTCGGCGGCTTCGGCGGCGGCGGAGCAGTCGCGGCACTTTCTTGAGGTTTCTGGCTTTCGTGCCTGCGTGTTGGTGAAGCTCGACCGTGGAAGTCTTTTCTGCTTACAGACGCTGCACGAGAGCGGCTCGTCCTTGCCCTCGCCGTCGTTGCTGCTCGCTTTGCTGTTTTCAGACGCCCTGGATGTTCAATGGTACGGGGGGGGTCGGGGCCCGCGAAGAACAGGAAATTGGTCAGAGCGAACGACCGTCTTTGTATTTTTTTTGTGAACGGATGCTGGTTTTCGTCGAGCGAGGAAACTGAACCCGAGTAGGTTGACAATAGCACGCAGTCGGGGTGGGGCGAACACGCAGTCGGGGTGGGGCGAAGTCCAGACGCGCCGGACGGTGAGGGACTACATACAGAATGCATATGCAAATGTAGCGTGTCTTCCAAGCGAACAACACGACCTGGCCTGTCACCCACCGGCAGGCGTATTTCACCCTGCGGAACGTCCGCAAGAGTCAACCTGCCGACATTTACCGTAGCCCAGCTGTAACACGACACACATCATAACCTCCACACGACGAGATATGTACAATCGCTGTGAACAGTGGCACCACCAACATATAGTGGCTACTGCTGTAGCAGCTATGATCATTTTTGTTCACCTTTCGCGCTCCTCCGTCGCCGCTTTCGCTACGCATTCCTTGCATTTAACCTTGTCTTCCGCGAGCTTTCCTTCGCGCAGCTTCCTCAGCTGATTGGCGCTGAACGATTCAGCGGTCAAACGTTTACGTCGGCACTCGCTGCACGCGAGCGTGCCTGCCCAGGATCCGCCGACTGCGTCCATGCGTGTGCGTAATTGCTGCACGCGCATTTTGCAGAGCGGAACATGTAAATGAAACCGGAGAGCTTCTTACAACAACAGACAGCAGGTCGGTGTGAACTTACCGATCCGCAGGGTGAGAGTGGATGTCTGCGTGGGCATTTAGCCAGGAGGTATCCATTGGTCGGCAGACTGATGTTGTGCACTTGACTACAGATAGTCTATGCTAGCGGGCAAGGTCCATACCAACAAGTAATTTGTTTTCAAATCCTACAGGTATACAGGTAGACTACACCTCGAGCAATAGGAGATACTGGAGGTGTTGAAATGCCGTTCCACAAAGAAATCCCATGTTGCATGTTGCAGACTTTCATACTTTCGGGAGACCTTAGCCCGGCTGTCTGCGTAATACTCGTCGATCCCATGCGGCACAACTCGTTGTATCATACATGCAGCAACACCAAACAGCACAAGTGTATTGTTATATCTGGTAGATCGCGTTGACCGTGAGTCGTACGGGCGTATGCCACACGTCAACCTTGCGTACTTCCTGTTGTACTCAAATTTCCTTCCACCCACTCACCCCAATCCTTGTATCAACGGCGGTGAGTGCTGAACGGTGTGGCGCTCGCAGAGAGACACAGGGGGCGGGCGAGTTCGGGAGGCATTCTTCGGGGATGCATGCGAGATGTCCCCCCAAGAAACTCTTCTGCGCATGTACAGCAGTGTAGTACGTTATTATCCGACAGGATACCCGCAAGCATCATGTGTGGGGTACTCTTTGGCAACGTCGACTAGCCACCCGAGGTGGTGCTGCTGTTTGAGCGGATTTTGAGAGTTGATTACCACCCGAGAGACCAAGACATACACAGAAAAACATGCCCTCGTTACTGTACCAAGATGTACGGCGGTAGTCTCTCAGGTACGTGCTTGATTGAGAATTCGAGCGGAACGTACGCATAGATAGACTAGACTGACTGTGTGTGCATGGAAGATATATGCATAGACTACATAGATGTACTGCAGTTCTTGGAAAGAAGTGAACGGGCTGCAGCAAAAGACAAAACAGAGATGGCAACCAGCCGCGGTTGCCTCCTCCCTCCTGGAATTGACGGTAAAATGATTGAAACGATGAGATACTCTACTCGACAAAGAAAGACTTGACCATCGCAAGACCACAAGTAAACACTATTTCTACCGACCTGTCACGAGACACCCCCCTATTAGTCTAAAAGGAACATTTTTTTGTAATGGGCATAAAGGTGGACGGGCACTACACGGCCCTAGGTTTGCTAGAGGGAGCTGCATTGCCTCAGTAACCTGGCTTCGCCATCAAAGGAGGAGGGAGCAGGTGGCGACGAGCTGAACTGGGCTGGTTGACCATTCGGCGCGAGAATTTTTTTTTTTCAGACCAAGAACCTTGAGTGCAATGAGGGAGAAAGCGAGGAACGGACTGGGAAGGACAGCAACGAGCAGAGCGTGTACGGACGGAGCAGGTCGAGTGGCGTTTTGCTCGGGCTGACTACAGCGGCGCCGGATGGAGCAATGGCACCGGAGCATGCGGGCGACATCGACCCGTGGCGCACGGACGAACATTTCTATCTGTGAAGTCAATTTTTTTCGTTTTTTTTCTGACTTTCCGCACGGTTAGTTTTTTTTGAACGTCATGGACCATAGGTTTTGTGTGATGACGTCGTCACCGGTTTTGTGGAGAGACCCGTCAGAGATGGCGTGGCTAACTCGGGTGCATTGGTGTTGTGCCTGATCGTGGAAGACCCCTTCAATGATGTGGAACGATTCTTAGCTAAATTAGTGTCATATATTTTTCACTGCAGTGCCTAACACAGACGATCGGGAGAGATTCGGGTGATTGTCAATTGCTGCTGTGATGGCTTTGGTTGGTTGTTCTTCGGGCTCTTGGATACCTTTTTCTCGTTATATGTGTGCGTGTTCCTTAGATCGTCAGATGGCTCTAGCACTTTCGTGACCACGGGCTGAGAGCCTTTGCTAGATTTTGGCATTTAGCAACTGACATACGGTTTAATCTGACGACAACAACAACAACAACATATATCCCCACACAATCCGCGGAGACCCCTGTTGCTCAAAACTGCTCCAAAATGCTTAGCTTTCCGTTAGCTTTCGTTCGAGCACTTCAGCGCGCCGATCGGGTCACGCATCCCCGAGTTACAGCACCCACTCCCTCCATACCCGTGATGCGTGGCGTCTTTGCCTTTGTCGGTCTCCTGCTGCTAAGCATGGGGCGGACAAGAGTGGACCCAGAGCAGGCCCAGAAGGCTGTTGATGCGGTACACAGCGGTCAGATGTCAGTCAGGAGTGCTGCCGAGGCCCACGGGATAAGCAGGAACTCGCTGCACAGCCGTATGACCAACTAAGTGACCATAGATGCGAAGGTTGGTCCCGGGACTGTCCTGAGCAAGGAGGAGGAAGATTCGTTGAAGATGTCTTGGTCTCCGCTTCCCGACACCTTTTGCTATTGGGTCGGAGGGAGCTGAAAGACGCTGTGCGGAAGATCTGCCTCGACGGGCGCAATGTGCCCTGGGACCCAGACAAGGGCCGGGGGGATTGCTGGCTTGAANAGATGCGAAGGTTGGTCCCGGGACTGTCCTGAGCAAGGAGGAGGAAGATTCGTTGAAGATGTCTTGGTCTCCGCTTCCCGACACCTTTTGCTATTGGGTCGGAGGGAGCTGAAAGACGCTGTGCGGAAGATCTGCCTCGACGGGCGCAATGTGCCCTGGGACCCAGACAAGGGCCGGGGGGATTGCTGGCTTGAATGGTTCCTGAAGAGGCACCCGGAGTTGTCGGAGCGAGCCACCCACATCTACGAAGCAAACCGGATGAACGAAGACGACGAGTCTCGCCTTGAAGCCTTCTACGAGACCTGGGACGCGTACCCGCGGAGACCAAGCTCACGCCGGACCGCATCATCAACACGGATGAGACAAGTTAGTTAGAGCAAGGGCTGAGGTGTCAGTGGTGTCTAGTGGTGTCAGTATCGACTGCTGTGGGTTCGTAGGTGAAGTACCAGCAACACTGCGATGTGTCACAATAAAAGCGGAGTTCTGCTGCTGCTGCGAAAAAAAACAGCAGTTGGTCCGCATGTCTTTGCAGGGCGGCTGCGCCTCATGCACGCACTTGCCGTGTGATACTGGATCCGGTTGAGGGTTGAATATGCAGCATTCCCTGTGGTCATCTCAGTTATACCTTACCGAAGAAATGGTAGGGCTCGTTCATGATAGGACATATTTTTTGTTTTTGTGCAACACGCAGCAGCGGGCGTGTGTGCTGTTGGTCCGCACACGCATGTGTGTTGCTGAACGCTGCGCCAAGTGGAAGCAAGCCGAGAATTCAGCAGGACGCTTTGTTTTGGTAAGCCCACCTTGGTTTTGAGCTCCATGTGAACTGTTGTGGTGGATTTTTCGCTTCACACCCAAAGTCTAAACGGATCCAAACACAAAAAATTGTCCCGTCACCACCGCTTGCCACCGTCCCTTGCGAGCAGCGCTCAGGTGTGTGTACGTTTTTTTTTTTTCACGTGCGAGCGCTGCTGCAAAGTATGTGTGTTTTTCTGACTGTTCGACTGCCTTTACCCCCGATGCACGCACGTTCTCCCGTGTGTGTTGTAGGTTTCACCCCGCAAGGTACAACGTCGGGGAAGGCCATCGTCCCAACAGGCACCAAGGTGCCCGGCGCCAGGCGCTCCAACTCGCAAGAAAATACGACGGTGGTCGCCAGCATCGGCGCCGACGGCCACACCTACCAACCTACCATCATCTACCAAGGCCAGCGTATGCAACCCCGCTTGGATTGAGGACAACAACGGCGTCCCCGATGCGAAGTATACTGTCACGGAGTCATCCTTCATAAAGAGCCACGTCTTCCTTGGCTATACCTTCGAGACTTCCGCGAACAGCTCGATGCGCGCGGTTTGCAGGGCAAAGTTGCCCTCGTCCTCGACGGCCCCGCCTCAGCAAGCGCTCCAAGATTTTCGCGACGGTTCGGGTGGGCGGGGGCAAGCCCGAGGGCGGTTTCCTGTCCGCCAAAGAACACCTTGCTATTGCTAGGAAGGACAAAGAAAAGAAGGAGGCAGCTGAGATAGCAAAGGCGGAACGCGCAGGGGCAAGGGCAGCGGGGGAGACCACCAAGCGGAGCAGGTCGTGGGCAGGGCGGCGGGCGGGGCGGCGGGAGAGGAGGCGGGCAGGGCGGCGGGAGAGCCGGAGGACGAGGCATAAGGGAGGAGTGGGGGGCGAGGCGAGGGAAGGGGTAGAGGGCGGGGAGAGATGAGCGTGGGGGGTGGGCAAAGCGGTACGCGGACGGAGGTTGGCGGGCGCGGTTGTAGTGGGCGTCAGGAAAGGCGAGACGGGCGTGGCCAGGGACAGGGTGGCCGGGGCCGCCCCGCTGGTGCTCGCGGAGAGGGAAGGGGGGCGGGTGGGCAGGTGGGGGCCGGTGCTCGTGTCCAAGGAGGAGCGGGACGGCCGAGAGGGGCGGTGGTTCCCTTGGTTCAGCCGCCGCCGCCGCCGGCCCCCGTTTCTCTAGGACGGCAACGGACCCCGACACCAATCATTGATGTTTAGACTATTTAGATGCTCTACGGTTGTCGTTTTTTCAAGACTAGTCGACGCGGTGGATGAATTATTCGAGTCAGACGTACAGCAAACGCCATTTGAACGTCGAGGTTCCGATATGCATCCCAGGAATTGCATGTTGTTGTGCTTATCCAGCTTTTGGAGTAGTTTTGGAGCATGCCACGGGGGGCAGGAGGGGGGGGGGGGGGCCTAGGGGGGTTTTCCGGAACCCTGGGGACGTTGAAATGCTGTCCCCGGGCCTGAAGGACTATTGATCGTTTTTGCTGCTTCGCGACTTGAGATGATGGCCTTGAAAATATCTTTCGATGGGGCGTTCGGGTGGTGGGAAAAAGTGTCGATTTTCTGCGAGAAGTCTCACCGCAGCACCAAGCTGCTTTTTGTCTTGCTTGCCGAGTTGACGTGTTTGAATGTATGTAAAGAGGCGTCAAACGAGCCTCAGACGTCATTGGTTTTTCTTACAATTAAACTGCTGTGCCTTTGTGGTTAGTAGGGCTATGTAGAAATGATAGGGGACCGGGGGTCGGGGGGGGGGGGGGATACCTTGATTATTCCGCAAAACCGGGGATATCGCCATTTCGTCCCCGGGTATGCATGGATTTTTTTTTTTTCACAGCGTTCTTTGTTATTGAACACACTTACCCAGGGCGTCTTGTGGGAATTTAAGGTGAATGTGAAAACATCGAAATAGCCTTAGGGTTGCTGGGGAGAATTCTTACCGTAGCGGCCAGCTGAACAGTGCCTGTTTGGGTGGGCACAGCATCAGATTCGCAAGGGTTTTCGTCCTTGTTTCTTTTTAGGGAGTCGGTGTATGATCAGAATGGATCGTTACGCATTTATTCCTTGGTTTTGGCTCTTCTCATGCGCACATTACCGCTGTACGGTCAAAAAGGGGTAGAACCAGTCCCTGATTTCAGGCCGGAAACCAGGGGATGCGAGGATTTTGTCCCCGGGTGATGATCGCTCCCAAAAAAAACAAATCTCAAACGAACCAATCTAGCAGTAGACGTGTGTATACCAAAAAATCAGATCATGAAACGCTTCACAACGCGCGAAATCAGCCACAAAGGCCAAGTGTCCCTTAATAGGGGGGGGTGGTTTCCTTCATTCTTCGGTGAACAAAGAGGTATACTGCACCAGCCCTATCGCATTTACACTTGCTATTTCTTTTTTTTTAGGGAGATAGCCTATGATATATCCTATCGCCTGATACTTAAAAATACTTACAAATCGCTTTCACGACCGAGAACGAGTTGTTGGCGCGAGAGGTGGCTTAAGCGTCCCTTCATAGGTCCGGTTTACTCTAGACGCGCGAATCACGTTTTTATTAGTCGCCACTGCTATAGGCTGCTTGTACGCGCAAATTCCCCGACGTATAACACATCAATCCCCTTCGACTCCAAGCAATACTATATACTATGGTATCATCTCGAACGGGTATTTAGTAAGTCTTCACCGACCAGTGACTGCGGGGTACATTTGTTTTTCTTCTAAACAAGACAAACGGCATCCAGATTCTTGTGCCAAAATCAAAGTCAGTTGCGAAATGGTCCGTTTTTACGTTCGTTCGTTGTTGAAAAGATGAGAAAGAAAAAATGGGCTAGCATGGTCGCCCAAAGTGAGGCCTACGACACGGTGAAGCAACATACACGGAGAGAGACGCATCGCGGGATCAACTTCAGAGTCGTCTACGACGGGGTCGTCAGAGGCACAACAACCAGGTTGACAAGGGCCCCAACGTTAGCTACCCGAGGTGGGTTCAAAAACGTATTGTTGGCTGGGGTGCTGTAGGCGCTTCGGAGCCGGTGTACACGTACGCTCGTAGACTCGATTTTAAGTCGTGGCGACTTATTTCCCTAGAGTGTCTTGGGCCACATAACCGCGGCCAGTTTTTCTCAGGGCTTGACTGAGTGTAATCACCTCCACTTGCCCAAACGATAACACACACAAGCCACGGGTTTCATCCGTCGGCAGTTCAACCTTCCTTGCCTTTCATCGAACATGACGAGCAGCAGCGGCGGCGGCGGCGGTGGTAGTGGTCAACCAAAACCACGGCGCTCCAGTGTGCGTCATCACTCAACTTGGCACCAAACGCACCACCCGATACCCTCCAGACCTACTGTAGGAATTGCAAGTGCGGCGCAACCTCAGCAGCAACGGCACTACTACTGTAGCAGCAGCACACACAAGTGCCGAGCGAGACGAGGGGCCCATATGGTGAGAAGCAGGACCAATCGATGCATTCCATCCTATGCTATCCCGCTGACTTGACTGACGAACGCGCCCAAAAGAGAAAGAGCAACAGGACAAAGAAACCAAATTAATCTCCGCCGAAACACTTCAATAACCAACGAAAGACAACAACAGACCGGACAAGCAGCGGCCATTTGTACAAGGCAGCCAGTGGCTGAGGAGGTGCTCCATTGCATGCAGAAAAAACAAAAAGTTAACGAGCGGTGCAGAAGAGTGCGAACCTGCCAGCTGGACAAAAACAACCCTGCATCTCTCTTGTGAGTTGGCTACGTACGCCCCCCCCGAGATTTGCTCGAAACGACCCAAACATGCATAAGCGGCGAGCAAACACACCTCGTCTCTAGCCCCCCCCTCCGTCCCACAAAACCGTCATCCATGCCAACCATCCAGTGTGTTACAACTAAATGAAGAAGAGCAAACCTCCCAATTCACGTTAGTTAACACCCACCCTCCGAGTTCCCCGCTGCCTCGGCACACGCCCACCAAAAAAAAATAAGATTCAACAAAATGTAAATACCAGTGGAGCCGAAATCTGAAACAGACGGAACAGGTGGCTCGCGATGAATTCGACTAGACCAGGCATGACAAATTGCACCGTTCTCTCTCCTTTCTCCTCTCTCTCTCGCCAAAAGGTCAATCGGTCAAGGAGAAGGTAGCGATCGTATCATGTCTGCGCGAGACTAGGCGCTGGCGCGACGGACAGAGGACACTTGTAGGCCAAGAGTTTTCACCCCTGCCACCCTCCTGCACCTCGTGCGTGTCTCTCATTTTTGAGTGGGTGTTTTCATCCTTTTGTTTTCTCCTCCCCCTCCTTCCCAACCGTAAGAGGGAAGACGCCTCCCTGAGTGTTCCACACCAAAGTCAAGGTCAAGTCAAGTACAACGTATCATGTCGGTCTCTCTCTACGTTCAGAATAAACGAAGAAAATGCACAAGCACCAACACCAACGCCGCCGTCTTCCACGATGCGACATGCCACAAACCACGGCTTAACACTTTCGATCGATCGCTCACTCGCTCGCCATAGCGCCAAGTAATTTCTCTGGCCGATTAACGCGTCATGGAAAAAGCAAAACACCTCACCCGCCTGTTTGGACCTCGTCGTTTCCCCGCCCGTCCCTGCCCCCCCTGTTCTTTCCCACTTCTCGCCACCAAATGTTGCCATCATCGACGACATCAATCAGCACCGGCTTAACTCCCCTCGGTCGAGGCGCGGACACAAAAATACACGCACACGAGAAACACAAGCACAACGAAAAAATACCCCACCACCAACCAAACAACGGCCATACAAAAATCGAAGCCCCAAAGTACTCCCCCGCATCACGAAACGGAAAAAAAAAAACGTCAACCGTCCGTGCGCTTGCCTACCAGCTCGCTCTGCTTTGCTTTGGGAGGTAGCATAGCACTCCCACCACACCCTGCAACAGAATCAGCGCAAACAAAGCAAGCAAGCCCGCGAGCCAAAACAGCAGTAACCCGCCATCCGATCAAATTGCTGCCGACGACGAGCTTCCGCTGTCGCCGCCGCCGCTGCTTCCCTGACCCCGTCCCTGACGGGGTCCGGTGCCGGACAGGTGCCTGGCTCTCCCTCTCGAGCGGACCTCGGCGGGCGGAGCGGGGCGGTTCACCGCGGTGGGGCTCGTGCTGGGGGTGGAGAGGGGGGCCGTCCCTGTAATCAAGTCATGCAGCTGCAGGAAAGGCGAAGAGGGAGGGGGGGGGGG